CTCTGCAGCATTTTAAATTTGTAGGCAAAATGATTCTCTGGAAAATCAAGCACTTGTCTGCAATTCTTTACTGTGGACATGTTTTTTCTTACTTTCATTTGTTGCCAAAAAGCCCCACAAGATAGATATGTCCATAGTTTTCAACCATTGCAACACTGAAGTGTTTTTTGATCTACTTTATACAACATTTCAGAGAGTCTTGCCTTGAGGAACAGAGGTACAATAACAGTTTGTATAGCTACACCTTTAAATGCAACTTATTCTGCAAACATTAGTAGATGCTAATGATTACCTTCTATTATGAAACATGTCCTCTGCTTATTTCTGCTATTAAAGGCCAATTACATTTATCTGTTTATCTGAGAAAAGAAAAATATGAAAAGTGGAAGAAAAATATATGTTTTAGGCAAAAAATAAAAAAGGGTCGGAGCAGACAAAAAAAGTAAGATCGTGTAAATCTTTTGAAAAAGGTGGATTCCAGTGTGTAGGGATCCAAACAAACCACTTCTCTCTGTACCCTTAAATCAGCCAAGTCTTTTCCCCAGCTCCGCACTTGCTTCGGGAGCTGTTCTCATAGGTCTATGCATGCATGTGCAAGTGCAGCTGCTTTGCTTCACATATATCATACAGTCGCATGACCCCTTTTGGTGTGCAAAAAGAAATTCACAATAATTTCACGGTACTGGTTACTTTGAAATCTGATTATCTAAAACAATTAGATAAGCATTGTACGTACTGTAAGTAGCAGAGAATTTCCAGGGTGGCACTGAATCTTGTGTGAAGTATATAAAATAAAGGTGGGAAGAAATATAAATTTAATAATAATGTGCTGAGGTCAAATGGACAAAGTCAGCAAGACTAGAACACAACCCCCATACCTTTTAATAACTCCCCTACCCATTACTCAGCTTCAAGCCATAAAAAACTACTTAGTTACTTAGTGTTAGCCTTGTTAATTGGGCATTCTATTTTGATAAACTATTCCGTTTCTATTAAACTTTACAGTCTGTGAAGGAAACTGAAAAGTAGTAGCAGAATTCCCTCTGAATTGGATTTTATATATAAATGCTATGACAGTATCTGGCTCCATTGGTCAGCAATGGATCAAGACATCTTAGGAAATAGCACAGAATGGAAGCATGGTCAAAAAATCATGATTAAGTGTCAGGATCTTCAGTTTGCAGGGCTGAAATCTGCAATAGTCTGTTTGCTACTGAAGTTCTTAATGCAACCTGCGTTAAGGAAGAGGGGGAGGCAGGGCCTGGACTCAAACTCCAGCAGGACCAGATAGATTATAAACTATGAGCTTTCCAGCCTTGTTTTAAATCAGTGAAAATAACATGATTTTTGGTCTTTTAAGAAATCTTTTAAGAAATCTGTAAAAAAAAAAAAGATGAGTGAACTCATACACACACACACACACACACACACACACAAACATATTCCTGTTCTGTGCCCATTAATGCAAATAAAGTTTCTAGGTCTCAGTGACCCAAATATGGCATTTCACCATAATTTTAGAAAATCTGCCACTACCTGAATAATTACAATGGCTGTACAAAAAGCTCTATAGGCTTCTATAGGATGAAAGATATAAGAGATGATAAAACGAAAAATATATATTTTTACAGAGATAGCTACAGTTGATTTTTGTATTAAGTGAAGCTAGCTAAAGTAAAAAACAAAAACCAAGAGCTCCATTCAGATAATTTATTCCTTGCTTCTTCACTTAATATTTATGCTTCATACTCCTCCATTGTTTGCTGTTTAGTATTGAATGAACAGGAGAGATTAAATGTTAGAACCAAACAGAATAAACAATATTATATTTACATTTTTCGCCTAGCATCATCAATAGAATGTACTTGACCTCATGCATACAGTATGCATTTTATATCTTCGGATGTATCTTTCACTCATATATTGGAAAAATGTTGCATATTGATCCCATTTGCTTCAGTCATAATACATGCCATAAAACACAGGCAATGTATTGCCAACTGTGGTATTCTAACAGAGCACTAGGCAGGGTTTTCATGGGATAAATGGTAGCTTCTAAACAGTGAGAAATAAATAAATAAATACATCAATAACTCAGTCAATCTGGGGTCTCTAGACAGAATAGGGTTCTGGATACAGTGGAGGCAGGTTACCACATACATACAAAACAATTTAAACAGGTGTTTCTAAAGTCCTTTAAACTAAGTGGAATAATCTACATTACCATCTAAACAATTTCACCAGCAGATCATCACATCTAGAGTGGGTTCCCATAATACCATCAAACCAAGAGTGACCTCCTCTACTTTCAATATATACAAATGAAAATAAAACATATCTGTATGGATATTTGTAATATGCAGTTAAATTGATATATAATGTAAGATAGTGAACCACTGGTATAATGAAACACAATCCTAGATTATTCTGTTCTCCAGGTCTGCCATACTGATCAACTGCTATGAGAATGAAGAGAAAGATGTTTTTTCTTTCTCTTTCCTGTCCTCTCTCTTCCTTCTCTTACTTAAAAGGTAATAGAAGTTATTAAAATTAATGTGTGGTTACACTCTAGGTTGGGCATGGGGTACTTGTGGCCCTCCAGGTATTGCTAACCCTCAATCATGAGCGTCTTTGATGCCACTGGTCAAGGGGCAGCAAGAATTATCTGGAGAGCCACATGTTGCTTAGCCCATATCAGGCTTGCTTTTAATTGCACAAGTGCAATAGCCTAATTGCATGGGTCACTGTCATACAGAGGTGACACGTTCACTCATCTTTAAAACGGAGGGGAAAAAGAAGACAATATTCTCAGAATTGTCAAAGATAATGATGCTGTACAGGAAGCTGCTGCTTGAAATCAACTTCTACAATTTGTTTGTCTTCTTGGACTATGGAACTATCATACTAGTTATACTAACTCACACCCTTGTAATTGTTTCTGAAGTTTTTGTAACTTCATTCAACCTCTAGTATAGTAGTGAGAGGAGATGTTCTGAATTGGCATTGCTTTTCATATTTCTTATTCTGATAAATAGTATTTCATATATTTAATTTTTTGTTAACAAATTATACATGTGCTGTATATTTGATGCACTTGTTGAATAATCTTGGCATAATCCTCCCCAAGCCATAAATATATCCACTTTAATATATATTTGGTGAGTTAAAGTGATTTTTTTCCCCCAAGCCTGTGAGAAAGCAAATATATTGCCGTGTGAAGGGCCTGTTTTGTTTTTGTTCCCCCCCCCCCCATACTCTCCCTCTCTTATCCCATTTTCTCATTTTCAGGCCCAATAACAACTTTAAGAGATTTTAAACTAAAATTAATCTCCTGCAAAATAATTTGTATTGATATTGCTAACTAGCTGTTCTACTGGTATTAATCAGTGTAGTTCTGCTGGTTTCTTGATTTACAGCAGCTAAGGCATTCATATTATAGTAATGAGTATCTTATTAAAATATGAGAAGAGGAATTCATCCCCAAATTTAAATAGAGAAAAAATTAATGGGTGTCAAGTGTCACCTCTCTTGTTAAAAGAGGTTTAACCAAAGTGAGAGGACTTTTGAGTAAGCTTTATTGTATCTGGATGACAATAATCCACGTGGTACAGGAAACTACCTCTGTGCTGCCATCTAAGGGGCATTTGGATTTTGCAGCCCAGGTGCAACATGCCATTTTGGGATGTGTACTGTGTCTCATACAGTACAGTATAGTACAGTACAGTCTCATACTTGGACTCTCTTTGGGAACTTGGTTAATGAGGCTCAGCCACTCATATCAGGATTACAATAAATGTTTGCACTTTAGGAATGTTGGGGAGAGAAGGCAGAGCTACGTCCTGCAATTAGACAGTAAGAATCAAGCCTGCATACCCCATCCTGAATGTTGTTTTTTGATTGACATGGAGTATGATGGAACGGTGAGGAATGTCCTTATGTAGATCCAAACGGTTCTATGTCTAATGGAGAGTAAATATATACACACACACACACACATACATACATGCATATGCATGCACGCATGCACACGCACACACATAGACACATGCTGTGATATCAATTATGGGTTGGTAAGCTCATTTGAGAAAAGTACATTTTTATCACAAATACTTTTAATGGTCCTAAGATCATGATAGAATGGATCTCTTTTTATGGACTCATTATATATAAAATATCATGTGATAATGAAGCAAATGCTACTATTGGAAAAGGCAGTGTTTTTTTTTCGTGATTTCACATGTACTTGCTTTATTTAGTTATAAAGTTTAAACTATTGTTTATAATATATGTGCATGTTTTCACACATTTGTATTGTAAATTTAAATATTGATATATGCAGTGAACTGCAAGATCCAATTTTTAATTGTTTAAAACACCTGTCAACTACATTTTTCACCCATTACCTCCATGAAAATGTTATTGTTTTGCATAGAATAGATTGGGACCAAATTTAGTAGTAGAACAATTAATTTCAATGGCTCTATCCTAAATAAGTCTAAAATCTGAATCTAATCCAAAAGAATTAGTGTTTATGGTGTAGGATTTTTTAAAAAATCCATTGTGTCAGTTTCTGTTCCATCTGTTGTGTTAAACAAAATAGGATTTGGCCATTGAAATAACTCTTACAAATAAAATGATTCAAATAATGTATTTATATTAAAGCTGTAAATAAGAGAGGAAATGTACCTAACAGTTTACAAATTATTGTAGATTATAATGGTAAATAATTTGTAAGAAATATACTTGCTATCACTAATACTAATACTACACTGAGAGAGCACATCTAGTCAAAGATTAAAAAACACTTGAAAATAGTCAGTTTTCTTAATTCTAGTTTAAAGTAATACTGACTTTTTTAGAGCTTGTTACTACTATATGCTAAAAAGTAATTGACAATTTGTGATCTGTTCATAATATTGCAGAAGCAGTTCCAATTCTACCCATTTTTTCCTTTCCTTTCTTTTTCCATTTCTTTTATCTTTTCTTTTTCTTCTGTGCAGAAGACCATCAAATGAATTGTCACAATACTCGAATGCAAGATACAGAAAAAGACGATAACAATAATGATGAATATGATAATTACGATGAACTGGTGGCCAAGTCATTGTTAAATCTTGGCAAAATTGCAGAGGATGCAGCATATAGAGCCAGGACAGAATCAGAAATGAATAGCAATACATCTAATAGCTTGGAAGATGATAGTGACAAAAATGAAAATGTTGGCCGTAAGAGTGAGCTGAGTTTAGATTTAGACAGTGATGTTGTTAGGGAAACGGTGGACTCGCTGAAATTGTTAGCACAAGGACATGGTGTTGTGCTTTCAGAAAATGTTAACGATAGAAATTATGCAGACAACATGTCTCAGCAAGAAAATAGAAATATGAACTATGGGATGCTGGGGAAGCCTGCAAACAATGGGCTTCCTGAAAAAATGGTGGAAGAGAGTGACGAGGAGGTATGTCTCAGCAGTTTGGAATGTTTGAGGAACCAGTGTTTTGATTTGGCCCGGAAACTCAGTGAGACAAACCCACAGGAAAGAAATCAACAGCAAAACATGAATTCTCGTCAACATGTCCGGCAAGAAGAAGATTTCCAAGGAAGGACACCTGATAGGAATTATTCTGATATGATGAACTTAATGAGGCTTGAAGAACAGTTGAGCCCGAGATCTAGAACTTTTTCTAGTTGTGCAAAAGAGGATGGATGTCATGAAAGAGATGATGACACCACTTCTATTACCTCAGATAGATCTGAAGAGGTGTTCGATATGACAAAAGGAAACTTAACACTACTTGAGAAAGCTATTGCTTTAGAAACGGAAAGAGCAAAAGCCATGAGGGAAAAAATGGCAATGGAAGCTGGACGAAGGGATAATATGAGATCCTATGAAGAACAGTCTCCAAGGCAGCTTTCTGGAGATGACAGGAAGTCTAAATCCAGTGATGGCCATGTCAAAAAGCCATATTATGGTAAAGGTAATATTTCTATCTAAAGTATGTTGTCTTATGATAAAATATGGGTAACTCTTAATGTGCATATGATGGTGTAGTTTGAAATGTAAAAAAATCTTTATAAAATCATCCAAACTAATTCTATTTTTGTTTCTGTAAAAAAAAAAAAAATTTAAAGAGGAAAAAAAGAAAACAAAAGTTACTGAAAAGGTAGGCAAAGATTATCCTGAAATGCAGACCATATCAGTTATCCCATGAAAACAAAGAGGTGTGTGAAAATACCTTGCATGAATTCACTTACATTTTGAGGCTGGGTACAGGACAATCAAATCAGTCGGCTGGAAATTTCAAGTATTTATAGACTTGACTATGGGGGACATCCTGATTTATAAAATTATCACCAAACGGTGGTTATTGATTAACACTCTTCTGCATAAAATATGGGATTTCTTGATAGAAATTGAACTGTATCGGAATGACTGATAACATAAGATAGAGGCAATGACTGCACATTAATTATCTTAAATAGTAAGATAATGAAAACCATTTGCCATGCACGGCATGCTATGTCCTGGTCTGAGATCAATAGCAATTTCTTATATGCATTCCACTTCACTAGTCTCATGCCTTCATGGAAATAGTTAAATTACTACTTTTAGAAATAATTATGACACAACATGCAAGAAAAAGTCCAAGCGTAATTACTATAAAGATTTTTATTCATTGGTATATAGCAGATAAATATAAGCATGGTTTTTTTTTCTGAATCCACATTCTTACAAAGTGTTTAATATCTCCAAGAGCTGCAGAATACTTTTGATTTCCATTAACTTTAATAAAAATGGAAGAAACTATATTATTAGAGGGATGTGTGATCAATACAGGTGCATATAGATGATGCTATACTGCTCATATCACAATATTAAATTGTTATGGTGAGGTTTTTATATCATGACTAACAGAACTGTAAAGTCACTTACAAGATTAAAACATTTTATAAAATTCTACACAGATTTTTCTTCTGTAAGCAAAGTTTGTAAGAAAAAAAAATAGGATCCAAAACTCTATTGTAAGTTACACAGATTTCTAACAAGTATTGCATTATACCAGTATCTGAGTTATTAACTAAGTTTGAACCAATTATGTACATGCAATTGCTCTTGGGCACATACTTGCATGAGTAAGCATAATGTACTAACACTGAAACTTTGAATAAAGACAGCTGCAGCTTATATGATTGAAAAAAAAATATTCATGTGAATTACCTCAGTTATGGGAACTGCTGCTAGTTTGGTTCAGACATATATTTATCTTTGCAAATTCAGAAGGTTACCAGAAATGTTCCCTTTAACAAACAATAAAATCAACACATGCAACAAATCTTAAAGCACATTTAGTATTTGAAATAGTGGGAAAGTAAATTTTCTTAAATTCTACATTATTTGGATAAAATATGGTTTAGTTGAATTTTATATTTTTATGTAAAGTTTAAATTTTATGAGCATTTTTATATGAATTTGTATATACGTTTTTTTTTAAAAATCATCTTAGCTGGACCCAAAATAGCTCTGCCAATTTTAAAAAATAATTGCTAAAAAAAGACGAGTACTGCATTTAATAGACATCAAAAGCAGTACCTTGGTCTGAAATGGGAACTTTAGGCAAATTTAATGTCACATTTCATGAAAAAGATGCAGCTACTTTAAGAAGTTGCAGAGAGGTACTGTCAAGCACTTTTTTGGCTTTTGAACCTGAAGCATTGCATAACCCTATAGCATTCCCTTTTTTCTGCTAGATTTAAAAATAATGTATGAAAGTTACATCCTAACGTCAATCACCATCAAGTATATATAAACCTGCAAATATGACATCAAAAGCTCTTAGATAAGATGATGATAGGAATTTCAGCAAACACATTTACACTTCAATCTAGAAAACCTGAAGCATCAAAAGGAATGCACAATAACTCTGTTACATTCCCAAGCTCAGCTCTGATGGGTTCCTAAAATCAATGAGAAAAGGTATCCTTTTTCTGTTTATACGCTCATTCCATGTTAGAAAGCTTCTGCACATCTTTTCGTCCTTCATCTCATCCCTACCGATTTATATCAGCTCTGTTATACAGTAGCAATGTCTAGACAAACATACTAGAAGATGGGTGGGAGCCCCTCTTTCCTCCCATCTGGTTTACTGATCAGAAAAATCACTATTAAATAATAATAATAATAATAACAACAACTATTATTTTCAAAGTTTGGAGCAGAAAAATGCATTGGAAGTAAAGTTCCATATAGTCCATATAAAAACAGCTCTATTCTACATTTGTGGTTGGTTGGCTTATTAAATTAGTGTTCACTATTGTTTCAAATAAGTGGCTATGAGTATTAGCAGAATCTGAATTTTAAAAATCTGATTCTGGGTGTTTCAGCTCACTAAGTAGTAATATGTCAATAGTATTCCTGGATGTTTGTGCATTTATTCCCAGTATTATCTTATTAATTCTGATTGTCCAAAGATTTACATTATTTATGCTATATGTTTCTTGTTAACTATATATTTCTTGTTGCCCTTGAATACTGTTACATGAAATAGCATGACCACAATATAATATTAATATTGACTGGATTTATTTATTAATTTATTTTTGGACAGTAGTTTGTCTCAAACAGCTATTTGCAAGACTTATATAAAACTTTTTGTATACAAATGCCAGAGATAGCTCTGTTTGGAGATATACATCAGGGGTGAATAGGTTCTACTCCCAACTTCAACATTTGATTTCTTCTGTAGACTTGCAGTTAATGACCAGCCCCAGCTTATCACAGGCATTGTTATCATTAAAAGCCACTAGAGCATTTGTTCATTTGCTGAGTTTAGGGAATATAATTATTCTGAGATGTACTATTCATATTACATAGTCCAAGTGGCACATACATATTTGGTCTTTTTGTAATTCCTGTTTTCCTAAAAATATTGCCAAAATATTTGTTTTAAAATGTCACAATTTGTCCTATACAATTTGTGATCAAATCAACATTCCTAGCCATGTATTATGGACTGCCAGTTGTTTGTTCACCTTCTTACTTTTTGCAGGTTTATTGATCTCCTAATAGTATGACTGAATATTTGACTACTATACTGTATTTTGTTACAAGGTTTTTGTCAAGCTTCTTTTGGCTGACAAGGCATAGTACTGCAAAAATACATTTCCCAAGACACAAGGGCTCAGATAAATAGATTTCTTTAGCGAAACTATGAAGTCATTACAAAAGAATTTCAGTGACTGCTGTGTATCAAATGTGAGCTCTATTTATAAAAATCAGTGTACAAATTTCTTGCATCTTTTTCTTCTGCCCTCTCTATATAAAGGACTAGAAATGAATTTCTTTGGTGAGAGACAGAATTTTCATCTGTTCCTTGTTTGGTAATGTCCTGATCTAGTATCAGGTTGTTTACTTTTGGATGAGAACTACCTTTCACCGAGCAGAAGCACAGAAATAGTGTATACAAAACTGCATGATGGCTGCTTGAATTTGTGTGTGCAGTATGTCCCAGGTCATGGTTAGCCAGTAGGGGAACAGAAACCATGGATAAAAATGAACTGTGTAGCTTAGAACATGGCTTTATTTCACTTCTATGAGTTCACAATAAAATCATGCTCAACTATAAAGCAAGGTGATATGTCCTGGTGTCTCTATATAGTACATTGGCTTTGTATTGTGTGTTAATCTACAATACAGGAATAATTAGAAATGATCCAATTGTGGAATATAATCTCTTGATTTAATCTGTGTTTAAATATAAAAAGCAAATGCCTTAAATCTGCCAAAGCTCTAAGCTGTCATACAAATAAGGTTTGATTTGAATTGAGACTTAGGATATGTGAGACAATGGGATTTTTTTTTTAATTTTTAAATACACTGATGTTAATCTAGAGCAAATAAAATCATACAGCCTAGACCAAATATAGAGCGCTAGAAACATTTTTTTCAGTTGCTGTAACCAGGATAAATTTATGCAATGGTCGAAGTTGATTGACTTTTTAATTTTACATGAATTTGAATCTTATGTGCCATATTGCATGTATCTGATTGCTGGCTACATATTAGTCAAAACATTAGAGTTTCTGTATACAACTAAAATTCAGAATTTATTGGTTCTAAGTAGTTACCCTGAGATAATTTCCCTTATTGACTCTATGAATTATTTCAGAGGTTCTTATGTTTGTCTAAAATTGTGCACCTGAGAGTGGATTCATGCATAACATTTTAAGGTGTAAAACATCTTTTGAAAATGTAAAGTGTGAATTTAATAAATGTGTAAATCATCAGGGAAATGGGATGGTTGCCTATGCACCACAATTTTGTGAAATGGTCCTGAAATAATACTCTTATATTTACACAATCTTTTATCAAAGAATGAAGCCTTGATTTACTTACCTTGTTGGACTCTTGATTCTCTTTCAGTTGACTTCAGCCTCTGATTTGCATGGATACAATCACAAAAAACGGGGGTTGAAACACATATTTTTTGTAATTTGGATTGGGGGAGATTAGTCCTTTTATCTATGCACAGCAGCATTAACTCTTCCTCACTAAAGTGCTTATCAAAGAAGAAGAATAGGAGAATTCAGGATTCCTCTCTGAGGAAATTCAGAAACTCTTTCCTTCCCTTTTCTACCATTCATTTTAAAACCCTGACTTGACAATTCAAACCAGTTTATTTTCCAGACATTTGAAAATGTCACAGCTGTTGTATCACCACTGAAGCTGATATAGAGCATGAAAATGGGAGCTGAGTGAGATGGGCCGTTTCAAGAAATCTAGACTTATAATCATCAAGATCCTTCTTCCCCCTCACCCACCAAAAAAAATTACATCTGTTGTTATTCTCCTGCTAAATTTTCTTGAATATGCATACAAATCAGAAACTGAATTTAACTTCTGGGATTTTTTTCCCTTTGGATAACTGATTGTGTAAGTGAAAAGATGAGCAATATTTTAGTAAAAAGAAAATACAAAGCATGAAATAATGGCGCTGGAATTGCATTTCATATTCCAGAAATTTTTTTTACAGTAATCCTGCTGTTTTTTTGGCAGGAACTGTTTCTTCCATTAAAAAAAATATTTTGGAGGTTGTTATGAAAAGAAAGCAACAAAAAAATTGTTTAAGCATCATGAATATTCAAGCATTATAAGTATGTTACTGTATTGGGCCAAATTAAAAGCAAATGTTCATTGTTTTAACCTCTACTAATTATTCATTGGAAAGAAACACACTTTTGTCTAAGTTCTAAAATTCTATAACAATTTTTTGATAAATCAATATTATCCTTTTAAGAACACCACTACAAGAATAACTTGCAATCTTTTTGGGTCCGCTATCATTGGATCTCCATATTTCTCCCACTGTAGATTTGTAAACATCAATATGTGAATGTTAAAATGAGGACAAAGCAGAGCCTACACAAATGCTTTACAGAAGTATTAAATGACAGGGGTGGCTTTGCTGGAAGAAAGTCACCATCTAGTACCCTCCATGTCTGGGGGCGGTTGTGATTATAAAAGCTTCTGGTTCAGAAGAAGAAGCAGGAAATAAAAATGTTTAAACAGGGCCAGACGTGTTTTCTTCCAGTGTTCTTTAAGAACATTTTCCAAAGAGTAACTGATTTCATTAACTGAACCTACGTCCATTTGGAAATCTGAAAAACATCATTCACTTGACACGTTTGTTGTAAATTATAGATCCCTCAAGAACAGAAAAGAAAGAGAGCAAATGTCCAACCCCTGGGTGTGATGGAACTGGCCATGTAACGGGGCTATACCCCCATCACCGCAGTTTGTCAGGATGCCCACACAAAGATAGGGTCCCTCCAGAAAGTAAGTCCACATTGTTTCATGGAAACGGGGGATAAAACTCCACACAAACTTTTCTAGCATGCCTTGAGAAGCTTTTTATTTTGATTGCTCTTTCATTCCTCCCATTTTTCTAGTATATGTCTCAGTTTAGCAATTTGTTTTATGTTACATTTATATATTTTCTTATTTCATCATTTTCACATCTTTACTAACTTTATGCTTGAATGAAGATGTTTTAAAGCTGTATTCTTTGATCCTGAGAGTACTGTGATATCTCTAAGCAATTGCTTTCTTGCACATATAATTATTTTCCAACAAAAATGTATTACTTTTAATCCTGAGTAATTGTACCTACTCCTTGAATAGGATTTCTCTTGTCTAAATGAAGTGAATGTTCCTTTCAGTTTAAAAATGTACAGCTGAATCCATTGAAATGTTTATATATTAAAAACTTGTGAGTAATTACTTCAAATATTTGACCTTTAAAAATTTGATTGATTTATGGTAATTCAACTTGTGATGTTAGTATAAACATGCTGTGATTGTATAAAAGGGATAAAGGATGAAGAAGTATGTTTTAAAAAATTGTACCTGTCTTAAATTATAAGGAATTCTTCATGCATCTCTCAAGAAAGCTAAACAAACCAACTTATTGTATGATTTTGAGTAGATTTTAACATTAGTTTAAACCATTATAAAAATATCTTCTCCAGTCACTAACAGATGAAGGCCTTCTAAAATCTGGGTATTTATTATACCTGTAACAGTATAAAAATTAATTAAAATAAATAAGTAAAACAATGCATATTATATCCAAAATAGGAGTGCTAAAATAAACTGTTTCTCTATGGATACATTCCTATACTGCTATTGTATATGGGAATCCTACCATGTGATATAGGGTTGTCACATGAATTTCACTCCCCTTTCTCCACAATATACCATATTTTAGCATAAATAAACTTCTTTCATTTATAACATGATTGTACAGGTGGTGGATGGAGTTAATACTCCAAATAATTCATTCTCTCACTTTCAAGTGAGAAATTGAATTGTAATGCCTCCTGAGCAAAATGATTCTCAACAAATATGGTGCCAATAATGAATGAGTATACAAACATAAAGACACAGAATGATTAACACAGGCTTCCAAAATATTATGGAACTTAAAAGTGTGGAGTTAAATGGTATATTTCTTCCTATAGAAGACCTTCCTTTTTTATAGGATAAAGCTCAAGGAAAGGAAAATCCCTTAAAAAAAATACCATTTCTCAGCTGGTGTGATCAAAGGAATTCAGTTTCCAGTTTAGCAAGACCTATACTTTTCTCACACTCAAATGTTTACTCAGTTGCTCAGAGTACTTCATCTTTTTCTCCCTTGTAAATGATAAACACAAAGCATTTAGGAAATGTTGCTGATCAAAGAAGAATATAGCTTTAAACAGTTTGCATGTTCAGTAGTGATAAAAGTGAAAAAGGTGAGATCATCTTTTTTTCTTCTTTTCTTTCTTTTTTTCCCTGACTCCTGCAGTGCTGGGCTTGTAAAGCATGTTTCAAGAACAGCTTTGAATAGCAGGAATTCCAGAGTGAAGCTTTCACATCTTTAGTACACTGCTAGTGGTGTGGTGATGGTGATGAATTATGGTGGTTGTGACTATTCTTTAAATCAATATGTACAGGTTCTATTTCTGATGTCCTTGGCTCTCATGTAAGCATTGAACATGATTTCAAGATTGGTTTTTTTTTTTTTTTGAAATGTAGTATAATTTTGCATAAGTCATCATGTAATGGTGATATGAATTCAAAGCATTTTTCATGTTGCACACAAACTGGTCACAGACTAATCTTGTCAAATATACTGAAAACAAACAAAACCCAAAATAATTTAGTACAGCCTCCTTGACACAGTGCCTTCCAGATATGTTGGGACTATAATTCCCAGAATTCCAAGCCAGCATGATCAATTCTGGGAATTAAGGGTAGTTAGGGTTTCAACATAGCTGGAGGACATTTGTTTGGAAAAGGCTGGTTTACATAGGCATCCGCTTCTAATCATGATGATATCAAAATAATGAAATGTGCATTGTGACATCACAATGCAAGTTCTTCTCTTTTGTACTTACACCACAATGTTGCATGCAAGTATATAAAGAGTAGAGTTTGTGTTGCAATGTCACATCGCATTTTGTTACTTGCCCTCTTTAACAACCTCTCCCCCAATGGATGGCTTTCCTGGTTTAGCACTTAAAGCTTTTATTTTGGGTAAATTATACTTGAGAGCCAGCTCAGTGTAGGATTAAGGTATCAGGCTAGAAACCGGGAGACCGTGAGTTCTAGTCCCGCCTTAGGCACAAAGCCAGCTGGGGGACCTTGGGCCAGTCCCTCTCATTCAGCACTAGGAAGCAGGCAAGGGCAAACCACTTCTGAAAAACCTTGCCAAGAAAACTGCAAGGACTTCTCCAGGCAGTTGCCAGGAGTCAACACTGACTTGAAGGCATCCTGTACCCCCAAATAAAATTATTCTTCCTTCATGAATCAGACCATACATTTTTTGAGCCGTGCATTCTCTTGAGATCTTGAATCCTGAGAATTTGAGATCCAGGAAAATGGACAATAGAATTGCCCACCCCATCCCCCAAGTGCAACCATTGCCCAATATTTGTTTGACTTTAGAGAATTACAAGCCTGTTTGCATAATAAGCCAAACTTCCTGGCTTTGGTGGGCACAACTTGCCATCACTTCTCCAAAACTCTTTCTTGCCCACATTCTTTGTTCCTCGTGGTTCTCCTTTTTTGTCCCATTCCCATTAAGTAAACACAGCAGAAAATCATCGTTCTGACAGCCATGGGATTCCAACTGCCACTGAACTTTTAAGAAGCAATAGTTCTGCCTAGTAAGCCTGTGATAGGCCTCAGAACCAGCGTCTCTCCTGCCCACTTCTGACTGCCCTGAGGTGAACTGGCTTACATGTTATGCTATATTGACTCCAGATACTGGATGCCTAATTTGTGTACATAAATCAGTTCATTCTTGCATATATATGTTTTAAAACGGCTCCAACTGGCCACTGTGCTATTCAGTACTTTTGCTCAGTGCTTGTGTATGCAGTCTTTTGCTTAACTGTCACACCAGAGACACATTAACCGTTAGGTTTCCTTCCCTCCATAACCCTGAATGTTTTAACATCATCCTACGTTGATGAATACACTGCAACCCCTCTTTCCCTCCCCAGGCTTGATTGGCGCTACCTATCCCATGTCTGTTTTCAGAAATGCTGATCGTTAATGAATCTTGCTTTGTACTAAAATAGCTTCCTATAAACTTGGACTTGAAATCTTTTTCTTCTTGTTGTTGTTTCCACACTCCGCTGTTTCCTTTCCTCCTTCTTCTTGTCAAGTTCTTGCCATGCATGAAAACGTTCTTAAGTGTCCTACACCGGGCTGCACAGGCCGGGGCCACGTAAATAGCAACAGGAATTCTCATCGAAGGTAAGATCCAGCTCCCTGAGGAGGCAGACCTACCGTTTCAGCCCCTTTCATGGTCCCTGTGGGGTGGGAGCATCAAAATGCTTTGGGGGCTTATCTTGAAAGGTCCAGATGGATCGGTGTCTCATGCTTGATTGAGTTATGGGGTTATGGTAACTATGAGGCACAGTTAATTCGGGACTAAGGTAAATTTCAAAGCTGATTGCATGCATTTGGCTTTTCTAAGCTGTTTCTTCACGATGCTATCCATACTGTCCTGTAGAGGGCAGAATCTAACCATGCTTTGGCACAGCATATTGCGTAACCTGTGATTAAGCCTCATCTGTGCTTTAATATTTCACATGGATTTTGTTTTTTTCTACAAAATAATGTTGCTGCAACAAATGCTCTTCCATTTCTTCATAGTTTATTAAAAAATACTGAAGTCATGACTCAACTTTTTTTTTATGAATGTTGATCTCTTCTTTTCTGAAATCTTTTTCTGGCTCTTGTTCCTTTTTTGCCCACCTGTGAATTTTGTGCACCAGTCGATTATGTCTGCTTATTTCAGCTGTCTCATGCTTTTTCCCCCACCAAACGGATTAGGGTTCGGGTTATTGATTGATGAATTACCTCTATGAAGTTATGTACCCATGCTATAGTCACAAAAATTATATCACACTGATCATTTATATCCGCAGTGGGCAAAGACTTTTCGGATATGAGATTTTAACACTAGCGGCAGGCAAAAAAGGAACAAAAGCCTATTTTTTAATGCCTGACTGAAACCTAAAACAGAATATAATTGAAGAAAGTAAAAGATGGCATATGTAATCAGAAGTAGAACAGAGTCCTTTTACATTTTGGTACCTTGTCAATCACAGTTTCTATGGATTTCCAAAGAAAAATGCTTATAGAATAAGAAATAAAGTAAATGCATAAATCAAGTAGTATAAAACACATGACTTATTTTTTTTTATAGGCTGACAAATCATAGCCCCCAAAAGGCAAACATTTATGTAGTCTTTAGGTAATCCCACTCAATTAATGTGAAATCCTAAAACATTAACTCTTTTTAAAAAGCATATTTACCAAATATAAAACTGGTTGCAAAAGGGAAGCTATATAATACTACGAAAAGGTTTGCCCTGTTGATTTACTATGGATATGATGATATCACGGGGTGTCCTGACTGTTTTAGCTGGAGGTACCTAGCAAACCATTCAAGCTGTAAATCTATCAGGCCATCATAGTTGGAATTACTGTATGTATTCACAGAGGTCAAAATTCTCACCAGTAGCAAGGAGATGGTGTCAGGCATGGGTTAGTGTTTCAAGAAGGCTGAATGGCTAGGAACTAGACCTGAGATACGTTCAGATGAGCTGTAATGGAGCATTATTCCACCCACACAACTCCTCAAATTGTCCTGATTTATTTGTACCAGTCTACTTCTGAGTAGATTTGGCTATGCCGGAGTCTTCTTGGTGTACCCATGTTCTTCTCCACTTTTCTACTTTCTAGCAGTATCTTTCCCATTCACTGTGAGATTGGGGCTCTGATACAAGTTCTGAATCAACTGAGCCTGGATCTGGTACAATGAAGCCTGAAGCCTTTTCTGTTGTTGCTTGGTCTGGCTTTTTGTATCTGGTTCCCTCAGTATCTTATCATGGTCCTGCTTGTCATCTGAGGATGAGTCCTCAGGCAGGGTCATGACACCACAAAAATGTTTCAGGATTTAAAACTATGTCCTTTTCAGAAGTTTTGAAGCTATAGAATTCTTAGAAGTCTGTATCTCAGATGATCAATGTGTTTGAGGAGATTAAGAAATGCTGGTTGGAATTATTTTTGTTTATTTGCCTTTTGTCCTGGTGCTCACAAAAAAACTATTTTAGGAATGAGTGATACCTGGTGATCACAGCATTTTTGCTAAAAAGGAGGGAAGGAAAACTTTGGTCCCACTGATCTAATTGGGCTCAACGGAGCATAAAAGGGACATGATGGGCTCAGTGCAGTCTGCACACTGCACTTTTTGGACCTCTGGGCTATGCTTGGGCAATATTCTCTACTGTGCTGTAGTTTCCCTAAAACTCTTTGAATATATGATCCTGAACAAACACCAGGAGTTGATTTAATCTGAATTTGATTTGACTCTGAGAAAATTTTCGATAACTGTGTAGTGATTTGTGTTCTAGTTTAACTTTCCAATTGTTTTCTTTATATTTCATTAAGTTTTCTATCTGCTGTGTCCTTATGGATTGATGCCCGGATTCTCCCAAGAGAATTTCTATCAATTTCAACAGCAAGTGTATTTTTTCTTCCTTCTTTTGCTACACTTTTTTTTCCTGAATTATAATCAGCACAAGATAATTTAAAGATCTATCCTAACTAGTTTCACTAAAAGTAAGCCTTGCTGAATTCAGTGATGATAACGTTCAAATAAGCAAGGATTACAGCCTTATTCTTCTCTGTTTTTTAATAGCAACAATAGCAGCAGCAGCAGCAGCAGCAGACAATACTGTTGGCAGATATGTAGAAAATTCTGCCAACAGTATTGCATATTCTGTTTGCCTGGCAGCAATGTTCTCCTGAACATTTACAAGAACACTAAACTAAAGCATAATTTGTGGCTTATCAAGTTGAATACAGCTCACCGGCTTCATGGTGGCTAATCATCAGCTCATTAAGCTTTGTTTTTGTAAAAACACTGGGAGGGCAAAAACAATTATAATTAAGCACCTGGACTGTCACAATATGTAGCTGGGAGATCCTATCTGGCTTGGTAGGTCACAAGATCAGTAGAATTAGTCATGTATAGTGGAACAGGAGTTAATCTCTTATGTCAACCCTGTGATTTTAAAGGCAGAGTTTTGCATTCCAGAGGATGAATGCTGGGCATCAAGACATAGCTTCCACCCTCCCACCCATTCGGCCAGCTTCTCCCTTATGTTTACCAAAAAAAAAAAAAAAAAGCTCTGTGAAGCTATTCTGGATGGGACAATTACATTTTCTTTCTGTAATTGCAGCCTCTCTGGATGTCCTATTGCTGCAGCAGAGAAACTGGCTAAAGCTCAAGAGAAGCATCAGAGCTGTGATGCATCCAAATCAAACCAGGCATCAGATCGTGTCTTGAGGTATACAGAGTCGCTCTAACACTTAATAGTGCGTTCAAGATTAATTGAATAAGAAGTTAATCTTAGCACTAAAGAGTACGTCACCCTCGGATCAGTGTTTAGAATTAGGGCTTCTGGATCCTGTTTTCAGCCTTTATGTGCCTACCAATATACCCTGGGGGTGGGTGGGTAATGTTTCTCTTTTTTTTGGCAAATATCAATAAAGCTGAAAAGCTCATTTTTGTCTTAGGCATTGTTTGGTGTAAAGCTGCCTGCTGGAGTTCTGAATCTATGAACAGTGTGAAAAAAGTTGATATCTTTGGGAAATAAACTAATATTTACCGGTAAGTCTTGTTTTTTCCAGCAGGCGTTTACTAGTAAATATCAGTTTAAATGAAAACCAGAAGCCCTACTTTCAACATTTAATTTGTAAGTTTAAAATTATAATTCAAAAATGTATCATTTGTAGGCTTAAAAGATTTTATAAGAAGACTGGCTGGCTTTATAACTTTATAAGAAGTTTTGGCTGGCTTTATATCTTCCAAAAAAAAGAAGAAGAAGAAGAAGAATGCTGATGTACACGCTTATATGGTTTACACTTTTATTGCTGCCAATAATTCATGAACCATCTCATTCCTCAGGAATATAGGCTACAGTGTTTGTCCGGTGCAGAATCTTAGGCGTTTGCTTGATGCAGGCAAGAAAGGTATGATTCCTGAGGAATTTGAGAGTCAGACTTGATAAAAAGGGATTAGTTGCTAAAGCTTACTCACGTACAGTGCAGAGATTCCAACTGCTATCATATTTACTAGTTGGAGGGGAAAATAATACATTTTCTAAGATAAAGCAGCAGAATTTACCTGACTTCCCCATACCCTTCTTCCCCAGAATTTCCGTTTTAAGGAAATACTTGATTATAGGAATTCCAGATTATAGGAAGTCTCAATTGGAAATTATGTATTTAGATTCCATTGATGTACCTCATACTGATATTTCTAATGTTATTGGACCTTAAGAAAATAAGCTATTCAAGAACTCTTCGTAGTCAACATGTTCTATGTGTCAGACTTGAAAGCTCAGCAGTCTACTTGGGATGGACTTTTTCAATGAGCTGTTTAACATCTCAGCAGCTCTTTCCACCCAAATAGCAGTATATCACCACATATAGTGTAGTGGAAAGTAGTGGGATATCACTTCATATCATACTATAAAAAACTGTCTGGGAAAAATTGTTGTCTAGAGCTACTTTGAAGTATTTTCAGATGTCATGTGTAATAAGAACTTTTACTTATTGTCAAAAATAAATTCATAATATCCAGAAATATTTTGGGCCTAATGTTTTAGTTTTATGCTACCATTGATATTAACTTTGCCCTGCAACTGCAGAAATGTATAATGCTTACAGTTTTATATTCAAGTCACCCCATTTTTCATAATTGGAAAATTTGAGATTCAGAGTATGATTAACATATCAAACCATGTAGATGCTACAAAGCAAGGATTTTAAAATTTCATAAGTATTTTATGGCATATTTTGCAATGTAATGGGTGTGGGGGAATAGAAATAAAATTAGATGCATACATTCCATGATTTTTAATGTAGTTTTTCCCTGTGCTATTTGCCTGAAAAAAATTAAGCTTATTTTTCAGATGGGTGACACATGCTTTTGCTTATGCTCAGGAACATTGGGTGGTTTTTAAATGGGAGTTTTGTGTTCCGTATATTTTTCCACTTTCAGAAACAATTTTTGGATAGTCTTTTAACAAACAAAAATTTAACTATTTTCTACACTTTTTACTGCCAGAAGAAAAACTAGAATAGCCTTATTATTGTGCTAAAACCATATTTTCTTTAATGAGAAATCAAATGCCATGGAAAGGAAGCTTGTTAAAAGCAGCATCTGAATGCAGATGCCTCAAATCAATATTTTGACAATTTTGCTTTTGCCTATAAGATTGTCATGCCTTTCAGATCATGCACAGATCAAGTGAATTGAGTTACATTGTCACCTCAGATAGGACTTCTCCATTGCTTTTATCTTGTACAGCTATTTAAAGTGAATATTTTGAAGTTTGCCCTGTACTATTTATACTTAGTAAGCACAATTCGCTGCTCTATCCCTCTTCTTGAATTCAAACAGAGTAATTCATAAGCAATCCAGACATTTATGTGCTGGACCCTCTGGTATAAAGGGAATTGAAAACTATCCTAGCAATCATAGTGCTTTATCTTTTACACTGTCTGATAAGGAGAAATGATCATGCTTTTGGCATCAGCAACTGCTACAAGATTGACTGTCCAGCAATAGATGACTTAACATTTCCAATACGGATAGTGGTTCCTGGGGGAATCCCATTTTACACCATCAGAGGAATAGGCCGCATTAAGACATGTGATTTTTCTTTTTATTTTTAAGAGATAATGAAATGTGCAATCTAGAATAAAACCAGGATTTGTTTCGTCCAAAGAGTAGGTTTAATTTATTTCAGTTCATATTAATTGACAGAGCTTCATCTAGGCATGGCAATAAATCACTCTTTAGAAATGCAGACATGAACTTATGAGTTCAGCAGCAGAAGATTCAAGAATGAGGCTAAGATAGATTAGTTGTTTTAATTACAGGTGCAAAAGAAATTCTTATAATGACAAATATCAGCTACCATAGAATCCAGGAATCTAACTATAAGTATATGTCAGCTCCAGGGTTTTAATCTACTTCTGTTTCTGCCATCCTTATATAGCAACTGATTTTTTGCTGCTAATTTTTCAGCCTTGGATGTTGATGACACCTGCTTGGTGTTTAATAAAGGTCTTGTCTGGTCTCAGACATGTTATTTCTGGCCTTGCTGGCTTCCGACCTCTTGCCTATACATGTTCTAACCCAAAAGCTTTTGAGTAATTCAATGTCTCAAACATGAAAGAAAATCAAAAGGTACAAGTAATTATTGTATTTCATGTATACATAAATATTTACCTAAATACTGAGAGCATTTTTTTTCCTTGAGGGCACAGTTTGAATTTATCTGATTGAATGTAATGTTGGGTTGCCCTCAGAGATTGTTCAGATGTTATACATTTGCATCCCACTGTCCCAAATACTTGTAAAGCAAGAAGGTAAAATCTCTGACATTCTTCATCTTTTATCATAGCATGTAAAAAAGGAACAAGAATTATGAAACTATCCCAAATATCAGAAATATTTGCAGCAATACCATTCGTATCTACAAAAAGAGGAAGGAAGTAGCAGAAATCAGAAACTATCAAATCATAATGTCCTTTAAAAAAAACTTATAGTCATGTTCCAATGTAGAACTGTTCTGATCTAAATGGTTCCTGGCTAAGTGAGAAAAAAAAATATATGGGATGTATAATGTCTCCCAGCAACTTGGGTTCTTCTAGACAACTGAAATGGGTGAAGCATAAAACAGTTTCAAGATCACCAGTAGAATGTAGGTCTAGCACAGTTTAATCACTGAGCATTGGGAAGTTAGTGAATAAACTTGCTATCAAACTATATATTTCCCACTGCCTACATTTTGGTTATTCTAGATTGAGATACCATTCTGGAGGTTAGCAATACGCCAAGATACTTGCTAAAATTTATGCTGTTTCCCATACAAGAGCAAAATATACATTTTATTATATTGTATAAGCTTAAAAATGCTTTTTAAAGGGCACCTTTCCCTATTTCTATGTTGTTAATCACATATGGTATGATTTCAATTCATTTGCTCTCAGTTTTTGTTCAACAGAGAGATGGCCTGCTGAAATGTAGATTAATCATAAAACAAAAATATAAAACAGTGCTACCATCTGAATGCAATAAATAAATTAATTGAAACATTATTATGGTTACAAATTGTGTATTATGCTTCTAACAGGGCATGTCTTTCTTTTTTCTTTGTTTCTTTTTTTCACTTTCTAGGCCCATGTGTTTTGTTAAGCAGTTGGAAATTCCTCAGTATGGCTACAGAAACAATGTTCCTACCACAACGCCCCGCTCCAACTTGGCCAAGGAATTAGAGAAATACTCTAAGACCACATTTGAATATAACAGTTATGACAACCATGCATATGGCAAGAGAGCCATAGCGCCTAAAGTACAATCCAGAGATATATCCCCCAAAGGATATGATGGTATGAGATGTATATTCTTAATGCATTACAAAATACTTACAGTTGTGACACGTTTTAACAACACCATATATTCATGGTTATGTGATGCAGTGGAATTTTATTATCGAACTTGCCTCCTAGGTGGAACTAATATAGATTCTGATATTTAAAAATATCAAAAACAATAGGCTTGCCCTTAACTGCAGGTTTACATAACTGACTTTAGGAAGCAAGATATGTAACTTGTAAAGCAGCAACAATACATGTTTTTAAAAAGCCCATTAGCAGATTTCTGCATCAAGAATTGGATACATATGAATGATGGCCTTGCTGTAAATCTGTTCATAAATGTATATTCAAAACTTGTCTTATATATATATGTGTGTGTGTGTGTGTGTGTGTTTTATTCAAAATATTGAATAGACGGAAGGATATACTTAAATATTAGGTTTCTGTGTTATTATTACTTAGTCTGCAATAGACTGATATTAGCACCACGTTGTATAGTGTAGCCTCAAAGTTAATATGATTTAGATTTTTTTTGTGATTACATAATACTTGTAATTTCATAATAGTAATGTATGTTCTCTCTCAGGATGATAAATAGTAATGTGTTAAATATATTTATAAGATTTTTATTGGATCTGGTGTCATTTGCCTGTTAATAAAACAGACATAGCTAGCTGGTTCAATTTCCCATATTGCAGTTTCCTACAGGTTGGGAAGTATGCAGGGAGATACATGCCTCCTTTATTTTTCTTCCTTTGTATGAGTGGAAGTTTGTCCATCTATTGCTGAATTTATCCTATTAAAATGTTGATAGAAGATCTAAAATACACCTGACTCTAAGATTATCTGCTACTCCTCTTTTTCCTTTAAATATATATATAAAAAATTGGGACGCCCTTCGAACAGTCACTCATGCCCTTGTTATCTCCCAGATAGATTACTGCAGTATGCTCTACATGGGGCTACCCTTGAAGAGTATCCGGAAGCTTCAGCTGGTCCAGAATGCAGCCGCACAAGCTATTTCTGGGGCCTGAAGAAGGACCCACATAACACCATTGCTCCGCGAGCTGCATTGGGTACCGGTTTGCTTCCAGGTCCAATTCAAGGTGTTGGTTA